GCCCAGACTGCGGAGCTTCCCACCGATGAGTGATCTCGATACCCCCTTGAGATGGTCTGCACTCCTCGTATTTTGAGTTTAGTCCTATCTTTCAGGAACTCAAATCAATGATTCAATTGCGTTTGATGCCAAATTTCACAGAATTAACGGCATTTTTCAAAATTTTAGTCCATATATTCTGTGTGATTTCGCAGTGCCCTCACTAAATGACGCGTAACCCTTCAATTTTTAGTTTAGTCCAAAGACCTCGTAGGAACTTAAATTAATGAACCAGGTGGTGCTCTTATGCCAACTTTCGAAGAATTGAAGGCATTTCTTCTTATTTTTTTTCAAATTTACAGTCCTTGAAAATGAGCTGTTTCGCGGAGCAAAGTGCCCTACTTTTGGGCCTCGTATCTCTTGAATTTTGAGTTTAGTCCAAAGATCTTTTTGGAACTTAAATTAATGACCCAGGTGATGTGCTTGATGCCCATTGTTAAAGAATTAAAGACATTTTTCAAAATTTACAGTCTTTCAAAATGAGCTTTCCGTGTGATTTTGCTAAAAATGGACAATTGAGCGTAGCCCCCCCAAATTTTAGCGTTCCTCAAAATCGTTGGACGTGCATAAGGAGACCATAGATATGGTGTCCTGTGCCAATTTTGAATGAAATCGAACAGATACATTCTGAGATATCGCTGTACACAGATTTGGGGGACGTCACACGGACGGACACACATTTTTTCAAGTATGGTTATTTTTACTCCTGGGACCTTAAAACGTCTAGAAATGATGAAATTTCAACTTTTTTTTTTTTTTTTTTTGGAGGATGACAATACTTCCTCTCTACCCTATGGGAGCGAGAAAGTAAAAATGTCCTCTAAATTTTGATCTTACACCCGAAAAAAATAGTTATTTTTGGGCCACTAGATCCCCACTAACTGAGAGAAATATAGTTGGGCAATCTTGGTAATATTTGATGGTGCTCGACAAGTTTCAAGTTTTGGCCTCGAGCACTTTGGCACTTGACCCCGATCGACCATTCTTCAGGCGGAGAAAATGACAGCTCCAGCGACTCCATTGACACTTTTCGGCAGGTTATGACGGATCGTTCCTGTGACAAACTCGCTGTCCATCTAGATTTCCGCCGACACTCGCGACGAATAAGATTCGGCGCGCGCGATAGCCCCGAAAACGGCGGATGGGCTCAATTTCGGGCGTCGGTTCGCAGCGGGCGCCGGGCGTCGCGTCGGGGGCGCTGATAGTAATCGGCGATTATCGCGCCCGAAGCCGAGACAGACGCGTCTTGCGTAAGCCGTAACGGTCAGTTAAACGTCTAACTGAGCGTGAGTAATGAGACCCCCGACAGATGTCGCACCTCCCGCGCACTCGTGCACGATTTCGCGGCCGAATTGAAAATGAATTAATACGGAAGGTGATTTTTTCTTACAAAAATACCGGTGTTTCTATCCTAGCGACAAGGACCGTCCAAAAATTTCTAAAAATTTCTGATTTTTCAAAAACTCTTCAAGTGGACGAATTGAACTGAGAGGAATTATTTGCGAATGAATTAAGTTCAAAACAACTTTAGGGGACGGAAATCTCTCCCACGTTGATCCTTCTGATTTTATTGAGATAAAGAGAGGTCTGTTTGGCATAAGTGCGTCCAATTATGATATATTGTTTTCAGAATACTTTATTCGGAAGATTTTTTTTAGAAATGAATTTACTAAACGCAAAATTAACATAATTTCTCAAGATTGACAAAATTTTTCTTTACAAATAATATTTCTATGATTTTTTTAAAAAAAAAAATTACGTTTCAAAAGAAGACAGTAAATTTTTGGAGAGTTTTTGATATTTTTAGTTAAAAAAATTCTTTACTTTTATACCTCTCATAAATAATCAATAGCATTCCCAGAAAGAGGTTCCTAAAACATGAATAACAGTTTTTTAGCGAGTTGTTTTTTGAAAGCGATAAAGCGATTAGTTTTTTCTCCCTCCTAGTTCTTTTTACTGGGGTAGTCTTACGACACCGAACCGACAATTCTGACGTGGAGACTTCTAGTTCTTGGTGCAGGTTGATGGAAAATTGATAAATCGGAAAAACCGAGAAGGTAATATAAAGGGAAGCACAAGAGAAGCAGGTTGAATACGTTGAAAGACTTTGCGAATAATCAATTTTGATTTATTACTTCTCATTAAAAAAACTTTTCTTAAAGTCAATAGTATAATCGATAAATTGACGCAATAGACGTTGAATATGCCAAGACAACATGTATCTGACGGCGAGACATTTTAAATATTGTGGCAACAAACTGTTCCATCTCCAGCTCATTTCCTGGGAGGCCCTAGGTCTTGGCGCTAAACAGATTTATGAGCTAGTGTATCCTCCGCTAGGTGTAATTCTCTCCCAGAAAGGGAATCTTTTAAGTTATGGACATAATACTAGCACCCAACATAATAAGCATTCGTCTGTGATTTACTTCCTTTTGCCCAACACGTGTGTTTATCACTTTCACCGAAACCTGATGAAGGGTTACTTATCAACATTTCTTCGAGGCTGGCGTAAGTCGTTCCATCGTCAACTTTACAGTCGGTATCGCCTTTTGGACGGTGTTGGCTGGCATTAATGACGATGTTGACGCTGGATTAAAGGTCATTGGCCCGACGAATCTTTTTCAACAATAGAAGTAGCGTTTCTAGTTTTACGTTAGTCTTCATTTCTTTGTCGTTCCGATCCGAGTCTTATCAAGCATCTTAAGGAGCTTATATTTTCAGATCATCTCCTTCCTACAATGTAAAGGTCTGCCGTCCTTAATATAATGCTTGGTTCCATATCTTGAAATAAGGGAAATTTTTTTTTAATTTTGGTCTGTCTCTTTTGTTTCGTCATGGTATTTTATGTGTTTAATCTATAGAACGTTTCCAGGAAGACTTTTTTCCATGACCCGTTTCGGGTATTTCATGACAGAAGATAATCTGATGTAAATTTAATAAAATAAATTAATTATAAAAGAAAATATACCATTAATTACATCTCCTTTTGTATTATCACTTCCTCACGGTCACATTCGATTTTTTGTTCGTAGTGCGATGTATTGCTTCTCGTTCCCCAGAAAAACGTGTTCCCTTATCCGCGGGGATTCCATTATTGGATATTGGCGTGGCGTGCTTTGCGATATATCGAATGATCTGCCATTTACACCTATGGAAGAGGATCGATAAACAGGGTGTTCGCAACGAACAATTTATTAATCGATTCTTTACCACAGCTTCAAATGAAGGAATATCGATAATCGATCATTCACGCCACGCCACTGTAATTGGATCGAGTTTATCAGTGAGGAACCAACCCAAATTAAGTTGAAACTGAGAGGAAAAGGTTTAAAGTTTTATTCCTCCGTAAGACTGAATGTAAAAATTAAGTTTAACCCTTTGTTCACAAACTTTTTATTCTTCTTCTTTCTTTTTGCAACTTGTGAGTTTTTGGCAGGAGAAAATATAGTACTTGTGGAACTCAAAAATATTCTTAACTCATTTTTTTCGGAAATCTGGGTTGGTCCTTTTCTAATAATGTCGGTCCTATTAAAATAGGAGGCCGAAGAGCAAGCATGATATGAAAGATAGGATCCTATGGAAAGTGTGCTGTTTAAGGAACAACGAAGAGTACGGCAATATTACCGTGCTAAGGAAAAACGCCGTATGAGCCATCAGGCGTTGCCAAATTTCCTCCGGCAAATCGCTCATTTTCAGGCAAATTTTTGCAAATTTGTCTGCCAACTTCTCAGATAATTTTGTTCTTAATTTGATCTGAAACGTCTGAAAATTTCAAGGAAAAATATTTATAATTTTCTCCCAAAATAAACATGTTATCGAAGGAAATTTGGCAACTCTCGAATGTTCATACGGCGTTCTTCCTTAGCACGGCAGAATACCGATACGGCTCATATTCAAAAATCAAGAATGCATTTTGAGAAATTCAGGGCACAGACCGGTGCTTCTCTGACAACGGGAATCCCGGGCAACTTGGACGTGGAGCAGAAAGGGGGGATGGGGATAAGGGGGAGGGGAGAATGGAAAGGATTCCTGGAAATGGTTAAGGGGGAGTGTTGCGATTCGCACTGCATGACGGGGAGCAGCGGAGGTCTGCACTTAGCCCATTGCGCACGGGCGAGTTATGAAACTTGATTATAACAATTCACGCTTTATGAGGTAATACATGTGGAGCAGGGGCATGCACCGAGCATGGAGACGCGTCGGGATGGATGCTCCGAAAAGAATCACGAGAACGCGCTAAGTTTCCACGCACGAAAAGACGTTCGTCTTGACCGTAACGATCCCGATACCGAGCTGCCGGGTCGTGAACCGAGCCCAAGAGAAAAGTCCCTGGGATAGACTGATTTAGAGGCTCCGTCATAGTTTTACATCGCAATGGAGATGTTGCATGTATGAGGAATTTGCGATTCGACTATTGATTCTCTTGTAAAATTTCGCGAGAAACACGATGGTGCCACTGGTTTTTTTTCTGAAATCAACTCCCAAGCTCAAAAAAAGCTCTCAAGAGGAGGCTAAAATGGAAGGGATATCCTACGCTATCCTGAGAGTCCACCTCTACATCAAGACGAACTCTCCATGCAAAAATAGGGAGCAAATACATTGACAAGGCTTCCACTTTATTTGGGGACGCTAAAACTGAAAACACGGCAACTCTGTCAATGTATTTGCTCCCTATCTTTGCATGGATAGTTTGTCTTGATGTAGAGGTGGACACTCAGGATAGCGTGGGATATCCCCTCCATTTTGGCCTCAACTTTGAGAGCTTTTTTTGAGCTTGAGAGTTGATTTCAGGGAAAACCAGTGGCACTATTGCGTTTCTCGCGAACTTTTACATAAGAATCAATGGTCAAATCGCAAATTCCTCACACATGAAACATCTCCATTCCATAATCCGGAGGAAATGCCGATAAAAGTGACATATGTCATTACCTAAAATGAATTATTCTTTAATTTCGGCTTACCTCGTCGGTGATGTCTCCGAGATGCTGGACGTCTTCTGTCTCGGTGCGCTCCTCTTTCTCCTCGCGGCTCTTGGTCCAGTGCTCCTTCACCTCCTTGACCATGCCCGAGGGCCCTTTCACGGCCACCCATCGACCACCCTCACCGTCGATCGCGCTCGGAGGCTCACCGTCACCGATCTGCCGATGCTGCAACAAACAACAATCAACATCTTTATTCAATTCTCGCAATTCTTCATATTTTCAATCGAAAATAAGCTGAAAATAAATGTTCATTTCGCAAGACCGTACTAAAATGACACACAGTGGCGAGGCGTGAATGATCGCGATTGTCAACACTGGAAAAAAAACACATTGGATCTAGAGTCCAGACTCTTGAAAACATTGACAAGAGAAAATACTCTTGATTCAATCAAATATAAGCTTAAATCAAAAGGAAATCCGCTCAAATTAAGAGGCTTGGTTCTTGATTTAAGCAAAAATCCGATTGAATCAAGAGTACTTTTTCTTGTCGATGTTTTTAAGAGTCTGGACTCTAGATCCAATGTTTTTTTTTTCCAGTGAACATTTCCTCCGTTTGAAGCTATTGTAAATAATCGATTATTAAGGTGACGTTGCAGACGCCCTGTAAATCGATCCCATTCCATAGTTTTAAATTGCAGATTAATCGATACATCCACTGGAAGAAAAAGTCGCTTGGATCTACAGTCCAGACTCTAAATAACATCGACAAGAAAAAATACTTTTAATTAAATCGGATTTTTCCTTGAATCGAAGAGCCAAGCCTCTTAATTTAAGCGGATTTCTTTTTGATTCAAGCTAAAATCCGATTGAATCACGAGTATTTTTTCTAGTCAATGTTTTTAAAAGTCTGGACTGTAGATGCAAGCGACTATTTTTTCCGCAGTGTCGCAAATCCTGTCACGCGACTGTTAATAAGAACAAAGGTGGAAAGTTGGCATGGAGATATAAACCTCAACTTCATCACTCGCTGACGAAACTTGCGGTGAATGATACAATAACCTAGCTTTTCAGGACCATTACTGGGAACCAACCGAATTAAGTACTGATTAAAGTTTTTTGTAAGGTAAATTTCACTTCTATTCCCGTTGACTCACAGGGACTTGATCACCGTGCGACGGTGTGGCTGTCAGAGGGAAGTATGAAAACATCTTTAACTTCTTTAAAGTTCTTTGTAAAATGGGTAAATTTCAGCGCCCAAGCAACAACGCGGCGTCCAGTGATTGCATTTCGGCCGTGGTCAGATTACCGGACCTCATACGCGACTAGGGCCTAAATTATGCTGTTCGTAATTAATCATCCTCAAAACTGACTTCCCTGTTCCCACCTCATCAGGTTTGTCTGTAAACTAGCCTCCAACTCACTATACGTCTGCCACACAGCGCCACACGTCGTGTAAATCTACTCTATTCCAGCAGAAATGAGATTAACTTAATGTGAAGGCTGCCAAAGCACGAAAAACGGTGCGGGCTCTGCGAGTTGCGCGAATAAGTGCCGTTGGTTATAATTTCCAGTACATGGATCAACCTTTTGACGAAATGAAAGGCAAATGGAGGCTCTTGCCCGAGTTATGCAGTGTAACAGGGAGGTGAGAAAAACTAAGCAAATAGCTACGTTACAATTTTGAGTGATTTTACACACACTTTCGATTTGTTTTCCGTCTAGGGTATATATTCAAAATTTTAAACGATCGATTTTTTGACAAAAGTCGTAGGAAAAAACTGAAACACTCTCTCTGCAACTCATTAAACAGCAAAATCCAAGGAAATCCAGTGAATTCGAAGTGATTGTTTCAAAAAGTTTTCCTATAGCGCCGTCAAAAATAGAGTAGATATAGCTATGTAAAAAGAGTATTCTCAACTGTAGTGTTTTAGTACAGAACAACTGGACTGCATTTTGCAACTTGGACCTATAAATTCCGGCCCGATTTAAAAACAACGTATGTGCCATTAGTTTCCCTAAGCACATAAGTGTTTTTTCAGATGAGCCAGAATTTGTAGGTCCAAATTGCAAAATGCAGTCCAACTATACCGCTCGCCGCTTGGCTTATTGTTAGTAATTTTGGTCCACTCATGTTAAAATCCTTAATTTTTGGAACTATTGGGAGTTTGACTTTAATTTAGAACAGTATCCACTACAAACACAATACAAAAAAGTATTATGAATCGATCGCACTATGGCTATCGTAGCCAACTGAACTGGACGAAAAAGGAATTGTTAGGTTATATAATAGTTTACTTTTCTCCCGTGCGTTAAAGTCTCGAAGCTTTCTTGTGTGTTTCCGGACTTATTAAGGTAATGGAACAGAAAATATTTTCACCCTGCCTTTCATGACCAACTGGTCAGGACAATAGAGAGTATTCACGGCATGAAATGGTTTACTTTTCTACACTGTCGTTTAAGTCTCCAAGCTTCCGTGTCTGTTTTTCAACTCATTCAAGGGGGCTGGATAAGAAATGGGAAATCTACACGTTACTCGGCTGCTATCAAAGGTATCGACGTCTTCTAGTGTCCAAGAAACTAAAGGCAGGGGTTGTGCCGAGCTTTTTTCGGGGATATCTGGCATATGAGGCTCCATTATTTCAGTGACCTTGGGTTTTGGGCAGCCGAGAACATTTACTCCTTGTAAGTTCCGCCGCTCCCCTCCCGCGTGCTGACCGCCAAACATGAGTAATTACGCCCCACCGTTGCCACATTTCGTCGTTCAACTAAGTATCAAACGGAACATGACTTCACGATGGAAGACAATGAGGCCTCGTGGTGGACATGAACAGATTTAACCGAGATCAGTCAAACTATATTATGCGTTCCCTCATTTTCACTCTAATTTTTTCGGGAAGATTAAAGAAAATTTTCCTTAGAAACTTTATGACTGTATATATACTATCAGTCAATTTACACATCTGTGTAAGTCTGTTTTACATATAGGATGGCTTCTACGGAGTTTCAAAGCATTATTATACTGCTTAAGATTCTTAAGAAAAATCAAAATATGAGAGAAACTTCCTAAGAAGACTAATGTGAAATGTGATTATACTAATAGCGCTTATAATCATTCAGGTTCGATATCTCAATCTTCTCTCCACTAGGTTCCTGTTTTTTTTTTTTTTTTTTTTTTTTTTTTTTTTTTTTTTTTTTTTGCAAATAGTTTGCGGCTTACTTGCATAATGGATCTATAATGGCTGTACAGACTAAACAAGACTCAGCACCCCTGGCACGGAGTGATTGGTCAGATGTATGAGTCTTGGCACGAGCGTCTGGCCTTTTTTTTAAAAAAAAAAAAAAAAAATACCTTACGATCCGCGATTGAAATTCCAAGTAACCTTCTTGTTTAGGACTGATGACCAGACGTTCAGTGCTGACATTAATAAGACGGACGTAGATCTAAAAAAATATGGACTTGTGATACAAATTTGGCAGCCATGAGTCTTTATAGTTAGCGGCGGCGATTGTTAGTTATTCATCTAGGTGCGCGCGACAATTTTCCTTTTCATTTGGGAGATGAGCTAGACCCTGCTTTATAAAAACTGCAAGGTCACAGCGGCGAACATGCCCGGGCTAAATGAGCCTCCGTGAATGGGCTCCCAGCTTCCCCGTTCGCGTGTTTCGGTGTCGTCGCCTCGGAAGCACGAAAACGCTGAAAATTATGAAATCATGCATGGAAGGCCTTTCAATTGGACGTATTTCTGTCAAACGGAACTATGTGCATTATGACGTGAGCCCTGTTATGCATGTATTCTTATGGGCCTCAGGGCTCATCTCTTTATGCACATAGTTCCGTTTGATAGAAATCCGTCCAATTATATCGGGAGACCGAGACCTCGTGCCTTGAAAATCGCCTGATACAAATACACAATTTTGAACGGATTTGTTCACTTCCGCTTGGTGTTTTAATTTCGAATTAAAAGCGTTATCTTGGATATAGCTTGGATCGATGCAAAGTAAATGGACATAAAAATCGACTGATGTTTTGCACGAAAAGACTGCTGCACGGTTATAAATTTCCGTGTTTATGGTTACTATGTGTTACTTTTTTTTCCGATCAACCAAAAGGATATGGTTTTTTGATCAAGTTTTTGGTCAAATCGACCGAAACCGTAGGTTACACTGGAAAAAAAAACACATTGGATCTAGAGTCCAGACTCTTGAAAACATTGACAAGAAAAAGGACTCTTAATTCAATCGGATTTTTGCTTGAATCCAAATGAAATCCGCTAAAATTAAGAGGCTTGGTTCTTGATCTAAGCTAGATTCTGATTGAATCAAGAGTATCTTTTCTTGTCGATGTTTTTAAGAGTATGGACTCTAGATCCAATGTGCTTTTTTTCCAGTGTACTCTAAGACATCTGGAGATAAAGCAAGTGCAAGTGTCCTGCTAAAGTAATGTCTAATTTTCTGTATTGACTCTCGGGGGTCATGAATTGCGAATGGCTAATGCACTGGACCATCACCAATGCGAGTCAGGCTCGATCCTGGCGGCTCACATCGGATTTTTAACAAGGTTGCAAATCTCCAACCCCAAGGTATGGCCAATGTAAAATTAATTAAAATTTATTTAACACGCGATTAAATTATTCTGTGTTCTACTTCCCAAACTGTCACAAAATTTTGACTACTTTTTCTTACTGTGTTTCCACTGAAAATGATACGAAAACATTGGTACTTGACGAGAAAAGAGTGCTGATTGTGAACCAGCAACCCCGTAAGGTACTATTAATTGGCAGAATTGCAACTTTCATAGTTGATGGTATTATTAAAATCGGTGTGCAGCATAAATTTGCCCTCCTATAAGTCCCTACATTACATTAAGACGACACTTCGTAGATTATCTTCTCCAGCAAAACTTCGCCGAATCGCACTTATATTCCAGTTTTTTTTAAGAAAACTAAGCAATATATTATATTGAAATTTTGTAAATTCCTGGTTTATACTTTAAGGGAAGTTTACGGAAACTCTTAGGGTGTTATGTTACGAGTAATTGGGTTTCCGAAAAACATGAAAAATGAGAGAAAAGGCGAGTTGAAATTCAGTTGGCCTAATTTTGGTAAACTCTGTTCATCCGTCACCAATCCTGGACTGTTCTAAATTTATTAATAAAGATATCTGGTTGGTCGTTACTTGATTCCTTCCACACGGTGAGTTGTTTTGCGATGTCGCCGAAAATTGCAGAGGGGATTCATTTCTCATCTTCCCATTACACTGTGCAGCTTAGCGTCAAGTTTTCTGCAACTCCTCTGCGTATACCTGTGCTAATTAGTAGCTAAAAATATGAAACGTACCACTCTTCCCATTGTACATTCTTCCATCGCTTTACTTTCTCTCACTCTCGCAGGTGCACAAATGAAAGGGTCAGCGCCCTTTCATTTTCCGTCTGCAAAATCGCCCGACCTGTCTTCACTCCGACCGCGGGTTCCGCTCCCTCGGTCGCGGAAACAAACGAAACTTGGCACGGGGGCAGGGGCCGTCGAATAAACCGGAGGATGAATTAAAGAAGTGAGAAAATATAAATTAACATATTAATTGGACGCAGCATACCCGGTAACGATGATTTTGCGTGGAGATCGCGGCGGGAACACACTTTCTATGTTCCGATGCACCTCGGCCAGACAGGTATTATTAGAAAGATGCAAATTAAACGCATCATTAACCTGCCCTACGTGCTTGTAGGTCACGACCTGCTGCCGCTGGCCCTCTGCGCTCTGACCGCAACTAGCTATTTATCTAGGAATTTTATTTGTATAAACTTTTTTCACTTATTGACTACATCAAAACCCTCTGCGATCAATTGACTTCAGAAAAGTCGAATTGAATATGATGCGACATTATTAATTTAGTTCGTATCTACTTCTTCAAATTTTCATTTTATATATCATGGTTAAGAGGGGGGCATATCGGGCTAATCGGGCAAGAGTCCATAAATGGTCGGCTTCAATCAGGGAGTAATCTCTGTATGGACAACAACGCACTGGAAAAAAAAAAACACATTGGATCTAGACTCCAGACTCTTGAAAACATTGAAAAGAAAAAATACTCTTGATTCAATCGGATTTTTGCTTGAATCAAAACGAAATCCGCTTTAATTAAGAGGCTTGGTTCTTGATTTAAGCTAGATTCTGATTGAATCAAAAGTACTTTTTCTTGTCGATGTTTTTAAGAGTCTGGGCTCTAGACCCAATGTGTTTTTTTTCCAGTGTCGTTTATGAGTGGCTTCACGAAATAATGGTACAAACCTCTGTTTGCTGGTGTTGGTGTTGCTCGGTGTCCTCGGTGGTGTTGGTGGTGATCATGGGGCCGGAATCCTCGACGACTTTGCCATCCTCGAGGACGACTTGTCTCTTCACACGCGTCTCGATCTGCCGCGTCGTCGTCAACTCTGTCTTCTTCTTCGTGATCCATTCTTCTGCAAAAACCGAAACCACACTCAAAATTAGTACACTTCATTTATTCCCTAGTGAATATAAGAAGAAGTGAATTCTAGAAGATAAAACTTTCACATTGTAACAGAGAAAACTCGGAGTAGTTAAGCACGAAAAATGCCGAGAAATTCCATAAGTCGACTCTATCGAAACATTTCAAACGGAGGCAAACATAAGAAGATAAACAAAACATTACGAAAGCTAAGGAAAAAAACCGCGTAACTGACAATTTGACGAAAATGAGTTGGCGACTTTGCACTTATGCGCCCTGTCCTCACCGGAAAAAACACATTGGATCTAGAGTCCAGACTCTTAAAAACATCGACAAGAAAAAGTGCTCTTGATTCAATCAGAATCTAGCTTAGATCAAGAACCAAGCCCCTTCATTTAAGCGGATTTCGTTTTGATTCAAGCAAAAATCCGATTGAATCAAGAGTATTTTTTCTTGTCAATGTTTTCAAGAGTCTGGACTCTAGATCCAATGTGTTTTTTTTCCTGTGCTCCAAGCCCCTGGATTATTGTATTTTTATCACAGTGGAATCTTATACAGCAACAAATGAAGCACAGAAGTAATCAAGTTTTCTTCTGACAAAGCTTTCAACACACAAAAGCGTAAGGAGTTACGGCGAGTTAGAGTCCCTTTATACTGAGAGTCAAGACAACACCCCTCATGGAGTCACAAACGGGAATAAAGATTACACAAATTGAACGTTTTTCGTAATCTTTGATCGGCTCATTCTTAAATTCCTTTCTCCGTTCCTTCTCTCATTCCGTTTGTTCCTTGTCGAACCCGAAATTCCTCGGTCCATTCCAGATTATAATCTTTGCAATTGGTGAAAATGTAATCTTTATTCCCGTTTGTGACACTGTGAAGGCCTAAAATCCGGTTAACCAATCAGAAATGGATTCGCATTGTCTTGACTCTCAGTATAAAGGGACTCTACGGCGAGTTAGCGTTGCACAGCAGACGGTCATCTGCTGAACTGGCAATGGGGGCGCCTGCAGGCTGCACCTCCGCGATGACACCCAACAGCAACAGCCATCAGGTCGGAGCTCCTCACGGAGCCTGGCCTGGCGCAATGCCGTAATTGAAAATTAGCAGGGTCCATAAATCTCCTCGATTAATGAAAACTGCCTCCGCGGTCCTGATTTCGCGCTCCTCTAACTCATCCGCAATCGACCTCCGATCCCGGGCCCCCGAAGAGACCTCACCCGATGAGGTCAAGGCTCGCCGGGTCCCCGCCTCCGTTCCGGGACGACTTCCGTGATTGGGACGCCCCTCTTCGGCAGGGATCCAGGGTCCGGGGTATTCGCCTCGGGATTTCAAATTTGTTTTAGCTCCGGTATCGGCTGGCGTTGTTCGTGAGAATATGCGACTCGAAGAAAGCAATGTTGTCGCTGAAAGTGGTATTTAAAACACACCTGCGGGCCGATTATTGAAATCGATAGATGAAGCTATAGACAAAGGAGACAAAAGAGGTATGGAGAGTACCTATTGGTGGAAGCGGGTGGTTGCAATGGACAAAAGAGGTAGGTAATAGACTAACTAACGGCAACCCACGAGAGATCCGACGGTTAGTCTATCATTTTCTCCCTTTGTCTGTAGGAACTACCCATTTCATGCAATAGGATCGCTCCATACTCCCTATGTCTTCTTTGTCCATGTCTTCTTTGTCCATAGCTTTGTCCATCAATTTTAATAATCAGTCCGCAGGGTGTCCAGTTTTCTTCCTTTTGGGAAATCCTGATTTTTGACTACTAAAGCCTGAATTCATAATTTTTCCAAATCCAGATTTTTTGCGGAGAAAAATTAAAATTTCTGCGCAAGCGTATGCGAATGTAACTTCACAAAAATAGCTCGATAAAAAAAAAATCCTATCGAACGGCCGAATTTACTCAAATCCTGATTTTACGACAGATTTTTCCTCAAATCCTGATAGAATCGGGAAAATCCTGATGCTAGACACCCTGCACACCATCTGGCTTAAGATCAGCAAATTTTTAATGCAAAGTACATTAACAATTTTTCTTTAAAGTGGGATGAACAGCATTTGAAGCCTTAAAAACTCTTCCAAGTCCATGATAAGTCTATATCATTGAAAACTCCCTGAGCGATGATGCAGGTCATGCATGTGAGAGAGCTTCCGCGATTTGAAATTTGGGTCGTGCATTTCCTAAAAGCGCGCGTGGCCACTCCATAAAACCGTCCCATCCAGATGTAATTCGTCTTCTTCGGCGTGGTTAAGGACTTGCGGATTTGCAGATTTCCCTGAACATGAAATTCGTTCGCATCGTCGTTGACGATTTCCGCTTAAAAAGTCAACTTTTTTGCCGCATCAGTCGTTCAAGCCGAGTGATACCTATTTCGTAACGCCTATCTTGTGCAAAATTTGCTTTTTAAGACAGACGTATCACCTTCCTACTGGAAAACCTGCAGTAATCTGAGATTTTAAAAATGTTGGTTCTGATGGAAACTTACATAATACAAGAGCTGCACAAAAAATATTACTCTATATAAAGCTGCTGTTCCCACTCACTCTGCCCCCCCCTAGATAAAAATTGGCCGAAGCGATTTCCTTTAAAATTGGTACACGCTTAGCTATTGTAATGAGGAGTTGATTAAAATTATTCCCATTCAAATCCGCTGCCTGGGACGCCCGCAAGAGCGAAAAGTTATTTCTCCGTATAGTATTACATTGGAGATATGCGGTTGTTTACGCGCATCGCGCCGAACAGGTTCAATCCTGTTGCGTGACGTCACTGCCTTATAGACGAAATGTAAGGTTTTAAGAGGTATTTTTCGACGAATGTTTGTGGAAATTGGTAAGCGGGGGTATTTTTCAACGGGGATCTCGAATTTTTGGTCGGATTTTCAAAATTTCAAAATCCAAGATGGCGGCCGTG